ACTGAGGAAAAGCTCCAGCTGAAACATGTAACATAGATGTCAGTGTGTCTCAGGGACATTAATGTTCAAAGAAAATTGTGTGTGACAGCAGCTCAAATCCCAGTAAATCGTTCATGTTATGTCCCCACATGTGACACATGTTCACAGTCATTTTTGAATGCTATAACTGCATTTGCTGAACATCTGTGTAGTCCAAAACACTTTTTACCCATATATTTAAAGTTTCTCAGAATGTACTCATAAAGTACATTGCCGTCTTGCCTGCTGCTTCTACAGTATGTATTGGAGGATTGTTTAATGTGAGTACTGATCAGCGTTTATCTGGGGGTTTATCCAGATGATTTAAAAAAATGCAAAATGTTTTACAGTTTAATCTGCAGAAGAGTGAAGTAATACAAAACTGTGCTAAGGAAACTATACATCAGTAAATGCACTGACTTACTTTACAACATTGGTGTGCACAGATTTACAGCTCATCACAGCTCCATATGTTGTCTGTGGTGTCACTCAAACAAGAGATTCTTGTGATTAACCATGGATCTTCATGACGGTTGCACCATTAAGCATCATGGGATCCCAACAGTAATCAAATTCTGACCAACATTTCATTTTCATTCTTAACTCATGTCTTTTTTCCTTCTGTCTGTTTTATCACTTCTCCTTTTACAAAATTCCGCTTTCATCCATGCATCCATGCATCCATCCATCCACTCATCCAGCCTGTGGAGGTGATGGCGGTCCTGTTGTCCATTCTCGCCCTCCTCTACCATTCGCTCCTCGCCCCTCTCCTCGCCGCAGTCGACATGCCTTCACCACCACTCCTGTTCAATCAGAGATCCAAGCTTCCCCTGGCCCATCCCCTCAGCCCTCTCCCAGATCCAAGCATAAAAAATCAGCCGACTCTCTTCCCCATGACGCCCCTACTTCAACTCACCCATCTCCTTATCCTCCAAGCTCCCCGATCACGCCAGATACTCCCTCCTCTGTCCTGCCTCCCTCTAAAGAGGCTACTACAAATCCTTCATCACCAAAATCTTCCAAGACACCTTCTTCCCAAAACACTTCCGCTTCCGTTCATCTTCAATCTCTCATATCAGAATCCGTGTCTGTTTCTTCTGCAACATCCTCTGCTCCTGTTATTAACATTTCAAGCAACTCCTCTAAACTATCCATGGAAACCTGTCCCACCTCATTTACTCCCAAACCCCCCTCCCCCGCTTCGTCATCACCAGAGAATATATCTCCCTCCACCACATCTCCCCAAAAGTCTTTTCTCACTGTTACCCCGACTACCACCACCACCACGACTATGATCCATAAGACTGTCTTTACTACCTCCCAGCCTCCCAAATCCAAACCCACCCTCACCTCTGAGCCCCCATCTGCCCACCCCACTCTCACCCGGAGCCTCTCTCAGCCCCCCTCCCTGCCCAGAATCTTCCAGTCAGGCTCAGGAAAAGGTATCAACACACTGCTGCATGGTGCATGCTTTCCACTAACTGATTCCTCATGTGTGGTGGTTTTATCTTGTTTTCCACATGATTCAACTCCGTGAACATGTCACTTTACATGGTCTAATAGATAACTCACTTAAACAATAATGCACAGTATGTGGTGTGTTTTAAAGGAGGTCCAAGCTTGATCTGGTTGTCATGAGTGAAACATGTGAACAGTGGGTCATAAAAAGAGGACAAATGAAAGTCCAGAAGGCATGGGAAACATCATATGAATGTTCTTAAGATTTTTTCACAACATGAGGATGGTGAATTGTATCCGAAAGTTAGACCAGTCCATTTCCAATTAGATTTTTAACTCTTGTTAAAACAATGGCATATGACATAACTTAACTCAATGTGTTGTTACACAACTTAAAAAAGTAAAAAGGTTTATGGCAGCACTGACTGAATCTTATTAACAACCACTATCCCAAACCTCCCCAAATCAATTAAAAGTCTTTATTTGTATGAAAGATTCAGGAACAATTTTCCCCAAGCATTAAAAGAAAATAAGATCAAATAGTTTGTCAATACGGGACGATAAATATAAGACTCAAAGATTTCAGAATAACTGCAGCTACAACTACAGTACATACTGTATGTATAGACCCAGAAATGTGTAAGTCAGCAGTGTGTTTTTTTGTCTTTCTTTTCTTCAAATGTGAGCTCAGAGGAATTTAAACAACAAGATTGGTTTTAAAGCCTCAATTCCATTATATCCATGAATGTTTCCTTTGACTAGACAATAGCCAGGACAAGGCTGACTAGTACAGCTGGAAACCTTAAGCTTTTTATCCTGCTCTTAAACCTATTCAAAATTTAATTTAGCACAAAATCATGCATTAAAACTGCCCTGGAACACCACACCTGGTGTAAATACCCTACTTATCTATCCATACTTCACGACAAAAACAAATAAAACTGTAAATTAAGATATACTGTAAAACATAACTGATCAAAAGCTTTGAATAAACTCTTATTCTACACACTTTTTAACTCTTACATACACATCATAAAGAGATAAGAGTGAATTACAAAACCAATTTTTTTAAAGTAGTAGACAGAAGGAAAATTCAGCACTGAATTGCTTTATTTATGATATTTCAGGGATAGCTTCTTGATATCTTTTAATCGTTTGACTGGAAATATAAATAGAGCCAAACTTTGAAGCAGTAAGTTTCTCGTCACAGCTGACACTGCAGCAGGAGTGTTTGTTCCTGGCAGATAAAAATCACTTAAGTGCTTTAATTATAATCATTTCATCCTCTGCTACTCGCTGGTAATAAAATACTTTATCTTTATTCCTCTTTTCACTTCGCTTCCTACCCTCCTCTGTTCTTCTCAGTTCCTGTTTCCCATCAGCGGCGCCCCCCAGAGGCTCAAATTACAGATGAACTCACATCAGTCTCTGGTTTGTTTCTGCTTTGGCTGTTCAGACTGATCTAATACTGATATTCTGTTTAAACCATCCCCCTCTCTTTTCTTCCATTCACTCTTTGATGTTCACTCTGATAGGCCGTCCTCACATGTTTAGACCTCAGATTGTCAAGTCTATGGCCCGCCCCTCCTCTCCTTCACCTTTTTCTGCCGATGCCCCTCCTATTGCATCAGCACCGCTTCTCCCCAAATCTCACCCCTCCATCTCAGAGTCAGGTAACAAGCTCTTCCTCTTCTACTGCCTCAGAATCTATAACTATCTATTTTTCTGCTTTCATTTCCTAATTCTGGCTTTTACATACCCCTCTCTACTTCCCTCAGGTGTTCAGGGGGCGTGGCTAACATCTGGTGGTGACATCATCCCTGTCCCTCTGCTCAGCACTCCTGACCTTGATGCTCTCTGTGACCCCGTGGCTCCAGCCCTTACTGCCTCCCTCCCATGTTCATCACCCTCTCGTTCTTCCTCTTCACTTTCCACTTCTATTTTATTCTCCTCTCCTCATGCTCAGCTTTCTGTCTCTCCTTCTGCTCTTCCTGCTCAGTTCAGCTCCTGTCAGTCAGGTATACATGCTGAGTAATCAAACAACTCCCTGTCAGGGCCAAAGATATTCTTCTCAAAATGTATAATTTTTAAGCAGTTTTTAATAGAGTAACATCTCAGGAAGTATTCAATTCTGACCTTTCTTTTTATTTATGTAGGCCCAAAGTTTCCCCTCATCCAAGAAGACAATGAAACATCTCCGAGCCAAGACGAGAAATCCCCTAAAAAAAACCTGCACCGGCAAACATCTTAACATCCAACCATCCTATCAGACCAGACCAGGATTCAAAGACAGCCATCACAGAAAACAAAGCAGAATCAAAGATCAGGTGAGTTCATTGGATGATATCACACAAGCATTTACATTAAGATGGCTTGGTTTGGATCCTGAGAGACATGTTTGGCCTTGAATTGCTGTGTGGAGAGTTAATGAACAGACCACAGAGATAAAGAGGCTCCCTGATGACTGGTGGGAAACTGGAGCATTACAGTACTTTGGGGAAACATTAAAGTACCGGTATACAAAATGTGTTTATATTGGCAAAAGTTTCAGATAAGACCAATTTTTTTTAAAAGCCTAAAAGTTTGAGACTTTTCTTTCTCTTTCTCTTGTGTTGTCTTCAGTAGATCAGTCATAAAAACGACAAATGCACATTTTTACAGGTCGAGAATCGAGATGGTCTATGTGCTTGCTATTGCACGATTGCATGAAGTAGAAAAGCTGCTTTTAAGGCTGCAAGATTGACAGTGGTAAAAAGACTCACTTAGCAACTGTTGGTAAAAGAGAAATAACAGTTTTCCAGTGTTTTCAAAGCAGTAAATATGATCCTCCAGCAAAGACACATTTAGCACAGCTTAGCATAAAGAACTTAAATAGACCGGAAGCTGCCGGCCTGGTTAAATCCATAATGTAACAAAATCTACCAATTAGCACCCCATCAACAACATAAAGCTTAATGATCAATGTATTATATCTTGGTTGTTTGGTCACATTTTACTAAGTCACTTCACCTATTGAAGAGAAAGGTCTACATAAACAAGATAAAACAGGTCATTATTACATTTAAATGTGCTGGTAGGCAGATTTTTTTGTGAGCCAGACTTGTTGTTTACTGATTACCATTGCATATGCTAAGTTTGCTAACCACTGCAAGAGGTAGCTAGCTTCCTATTTCACAAACAAATACTTTACTTTGATTTGACTTCTAACCAAAAGCAGCTAAGAGATTGAGACCACTCTTAAATCTGAGGGTTGATATGGAGCTATAGCTAGTAGATGGTTAGCTTAGCAGAAAACTGTGGGGGGGAAAGGCTGGCCTTGCGCTGTCCAAAAGTAAATTAAAAGCTCCTATTAAGTTAATCTTCAACATACTGTTTCTTGGTTGTTTAAGCAATACGAAAACAAAAGTCTAAGTGACTGCACCTGGCAAAGAAATGGGCCGACAATTAACAAAAACAGCAAGATATAAAATGTTGTATATTCAGGTGTGGAGGTGCTAGGTGGGTTGTCTTTGTCTTGCTTAACATGCAAACTGTTTAGCCCTGTTTGCATGTTTTTGCTTGTGATAGCTTCCTTCCTTGACATACAGATATTCAAGTGCTGTTGAACTTTCATCTAACTGTCAGTAAGAAAATGAATATCTGCATGTTTTGCAATACTTAAAATTGTATCTTTTAAGCAAACAGATGTAGCTTAATTTATCTTTTTTTACTATCTCAGTTGTATAACAAAGAGTGCAAAGCTTGCAGCAATATTCTAAGAAGTCTTTTGTATAGATGAGCACATAATATGTGTAAAATTACCCCCAAGCTACCCTGCTAAGTACTGACTGAGGTAATCCTGCTTTGAGTTTCTGATGTGAGGCACACCAACACTTCCTCCATGTCTGTGAATGAAGTGAGAGTCTTTTCAATCCCCAGAGGCTTGTGGCCTCATGCTTTTTCTAGGTGTTTGTGCTTCCTTGGTGCTAACAGTTGCAGTGTGTTTCACCCTACCTCCTGGTGAACTGACCTCCCCAGTGTATGGCAATCAAATAATCATCGGTTTTCTAGTTTTGGTCCGAGCCTTGTGTGTTTCCCTCTTTAACCATCTCCTGCACACTCTGCATCATGAAGTCGCACTCATCTCTGGAGCCTGACCTCCTCAATATTTCTTTCCCCTAGTCCTGCACAGTCCCGCTCAGAGCTGATTATAGCCCCACCTCCCCCATGGCCCTTCTCCTGCAGTGAGAGCTCCACCCCTCACCAGCCCTCCACCACTGTTGTCGCAGCCTTTATCACTCCTAAACAGCCAAATGTTCAGGGAGGAACTGATTTGAAAAAAACAACCAGTCAAACAAAGAGTGATATTAGCGTCTTAAAGACTGAAAAGCCGCCTCTGGCAGAGCCTGAGCCTGACTTTGATGACATCATCTTTGAGTCATTTAACCAGAGACAAGTTTCAGGGGGCTTGTTTCTGGATGAAGATGACTCTAAGAGGGATACTATTAAAAGGTGTCCTCAGGGGTGAGTATTTAGATTCTCGGATTTAAACAAAAAAAGATCTAGAACAAAACAATTGATGTTGAAAAATGTGAATTTATTGTGCTGATGGTTTAAAAAACACACAAACACAAACTAGGATTTAAGGAATATTGTTTATCTGTTCTGCAGTCTGGAACAGAAAACCAGTGACATGCCGTCACTGACAGAGCAGTTAGGAGGAGCAGCAATGAAGAAGGAGGATGTGATAAAGGCAGAACAGAAAGAAATCCTCAAAAGACAGGAGGAGGAAAAGAGAAAGAGGGAGGAAGAAGGGCAAAAGCTGAAGCAGGAGGAGAGAAGAAAACATGAGGAAGAAAAGAAGAGACTGTTAGAGGAGGAGAAAAAGAGATTCTTACAGGAGGAGGAGGAGGTCAAGAAGGAGAAGGAGAGGAGGAGGCGGGAGGAGGAGAGGCTCCTGAAGGAGAGGAGGGACAAACAGGAGAAGCTGAAGCAGGAGGAGGAGGAGGAGGAGAAGAAGAAGCAGGAGGAGGTTGAGAGGAGGAAAAAGGAGGAGCAGATGAAACTGCTGGCGCTGGAGGTGGAAAAAGATAAACTTAAAAGGGAGGAGGAGAGGAGAGCCGAAAGAGAAATATTCTTGAGGAAAATGCAGGAGGATGAGGAGAAAAGGATGGAAGAGAGGAGGGTGTTTGAGGAGCAAAGGAGGAGAAGGGAGGAGGAGAAAAAGAGGCTGCTGGAAGAGGAAGAACAAAGGAAGATGGAGGAGAAACGCTTGATGGAGGAAAGAGAGAAGGAGCAACAGAAACTTAAAGAGCAGTCTCAGAAAGAAAAGAAAAAGGAGGAGGAGGAGAAAAAACATCTACAGGAGGAGGAAAGAAAGAAACATGAGATTGAAATGAGGAAGAGGAATGAGGAGGAGAAGGCGATAAAAGAGGAGGAAAGAAAGAAAAATGACGCAGAGATGGAGATGAGGAAGAGGAAAGAGGAGGAGGAGAGGATAAAAGAGGAAGAAAGAAAGAAAAAAGAGGCAGAGATGGAGATGAGGAAGAGGAAGGAGGAGATGGAGAGGATAAAAGAGGAGGAAAGAAAGAAAATTGAAGTAGAAAGGGAGAGAAAGAAGAGAGAGGAGGAGGCTGAGGAGAAAAGAGTCAAGGAAGCAGAGAGAAGACAAAAGGAAGAGGAAGAAAATCAGAGAGTACTTAAAGAGGAGAAGGAGAGAGAAGAGAAAAGATTAAAGGAGGAGAAAGAGAAGGAAAGGCTCTCAAGAGAGGAAAGAGATAGGGTTGAGAGGAGGGAAAAAGAGAAGAAACGGTTTGAAGAGGTGGAGAAGATGAGGAAAGAGAGACTCTTGAAGGAGCAGAAAGAAGAGGAGAGAAAGCAAAGGGAGGAAGAAGAAAAGAAGAGACGGCTACAAGAGGAGGAGAGAAGGCAGGAGGAGAAAGCAGAAAGGAGGAAGAAGGAGGAGGAAGACAGGAAAAAGAGAGAAGAGGAAAAAAAGAAGAAGCTTCTGCAGGAAAAGGAAGACATTGAAATAAAAATGGAGTCCAACAAGTCAGATGAAGACAAGCAGAAGATGAGAACACTGGTTGATGCACCTCCTCCTACTTCAGCCCCACAAACTCCATTTCCCACTTCGCACCTCCCTCCTGCGGCTAAAACCAGTGTTACACCACAACAGCTGCCCTCACAAACTCTCAGCATATCACAAGAGAGAAAGAAGGCTCCTCAGTCAGAAAACAAACTGAACTCTGCCTCCATTGAGCGGTGAGTTACAGCACTGAAACAAAACAAAAAAATACTCTGTGGGTTTATTTTTTGTTTTCAAAACTGAAATATCTGCCACCTGCTTTGTCTTTCTGAAAATTAAATCAACCAATCAACCAATCAATCAATCAATCAATCAATCAATCAATCAATCAATCAATCAATCAATCAATCAATCAATCAATCAGTTTAAAAACATATGTACATTTTCTTCTGATTTTAGAGACCACCCATATTAATAATAATGATGCATTCCCCTTGTGAATGATGACACATTTCCTTGCACTCTAACAATAAAAGCATACATATGATGTTTATTTTTCGGGATTCTGGCTGTAGTTTCATGTGGTGTTTTGATACTTGGGATTAGGCAGTATTACCCATCCCTACTGTATGTATTATTTGATTATAGCTTTCCTTCCACTTCCTTTCTTATTTCTGCTTAGCCTTGTTTGATATTTTTCCACCTTCCCCCTTTTCTTCCCTTTTTCCTTATGCTCTCTCTCTCCCCCTCTTATTCCAGTCTGGGGCAGGCCTCTCTCTTAAAGGAAGGTTCATTGTCAAAAACTGTTGTCCCAGATAAGAAAGTACCTACCACATGTACTCCACCTGGTAGCCCGTCAGGCTTCATTGATCGGCCCTCTGCTGAGGACAAACCCGTCTCATTAGAAGGTTATGACTCTGGTGCCACCTCCACAGAGGCTGTCTGAAGCAGAGGTTCCTCTTTGGAAAGTACTGGAAGGGGGAAATGGAAATGAAACCCCTGAAAAATCTCTTGCAAAGGAGGGTGCAAAAGCTTTGTGCAGGGGGTAAGAATGGGGGGAAGGTGTGTCTGTCTGCTTATCTGCTTTATCTTGATTTGTGAGCATCTTGTGTCCACCTGCTTAACTTTTGGTTTTGCATCTTATTAATAGAAACGTATACTTTTAAAAAGGCAATATAATTAATATGTTTTTCATCCCTTGTAGCTCAAACAGAGAAGATGCTACTGATGAGGACACCCCTGAAAGACAGGAAAAAAGCCCAATAACAATAAAAGACACAGAAACACATCTCATAGTCCCACCTTCTGTTCACCTAATGCACCATCAGCTAAAGAAGAGCCCAAAGAGCCAGAAAGACCCAAACAGGAACCAGCAACCTCAAGTGAAGTTTCCCCAAAACCAGAGGAAGAGCGCAAAACTTTGGCACTGGATCCCCTTCTCCCGTCAAAACCAGAACCAGGGTTGCAGCCGGAACAGGTCCTGCAGCAGACAGGAAGACCACAACAGGAGGGAGTAGATGCCAAGGAACACGTCGATGTCGTGGCTGGTGGTCAGGAGAGTTTGGTCAACAAACAAGAGCCGGGGTGTGAGGCAGAGAGGCAGTTGTGGGCGGCGATGGAGGAGACAACAGCAGAGACAACAGCAGAGACAGGAGGGATGGGAAGTAGTGAGAGCAGTGAAGAAAAGGAGGAGAAGCAGGAGCAGGGTGGTGTGACAGGGGGGTGAGTCAGAGTCGTCTGCAGCATGGCATGACATTTTTGCCACATACAGACACAAACACAGACACACCTGCATATTTAACCCACTAACACACCTCTGTTTTGCTGCAGCCTAACCAGTGCTTACTCAATAGTTACAATTAACTCCATCTGATGCTCTTTATCTAAACATCTGGCTTTGCTTTTAGACTGTTATTGAAAAAGGAAGTTATTCAGTTTTTTTTCATAAAAGAGTAAAATTTGTGCGTGCTTTCTGGGGTCTGTATCTGTCTGTGTTAGTGTGTTTAGTAGTGACCAGATATGTGCACACACAGAAGCAGATGTGTGTGTTGCAGAGATGCAGACGGAGGCGCCTGCTGGCTTCATGTCAGCAGTGGTTGGGGTGTTGTACAGAGGGTGAGTCTCTGCCTGCCTGTCCAGAAAATGATTTGTTAAAGTGTGAAGCATTCTACAAAAACATGTTGTTGTTTTTTTAAAATGGAAGCTTGAATGTAGTCTAAATATTTATGATTTGAACCCTTTTTGAGAAGTCAGTAACTAGTCAAATACTACAAAATATCCTTTTTAATGTTGTCAAAAAATAGATGTTTGTGAGCACTCTTTCTCGCTCTTTCTGTCGGTTAAAATATTATATTCTTTGGTTTCAGTGAGACAACTAAATGATATAACCTCAGCGTCTGAGAGTGTGTTTAAAAAGTTTACTATGAGACGGATCACTTCGCAAGAAATAATATATATTTACAAGCAACACACTGTGTGTTGCTTGCTACGTTTTCCATTACATATAAAATGTGCATGAAGCATATTGCTGTGGAAATTTTAAGTAGAGTGTAGAAACAGAATTGTTTTTAATTCCTGCACTGTAGATTGAAAACTATAGTACTTACCTGTGCGGTCATAGTATTGGTCACAGTAGTGGATCAACCATCGTTTTGGTCATTTGGTCACACACATATCTGTTATAAGGAATTGGTTTTGTGCGTATTTGTTGGCAAGCTTTTTATCTGAGCTCTCACCTGCATGGCACCAGAAAGTTTTCTCATGGTCCTAATGATGCCAGAGGTGATGCTTAGTTCCAGTTGGCTTCATTGTTTTTGAAACAAGGAAGAGAAAAAAAAGTGTAGGGTGGTGCTTTTCTGTGCAACCTCTGTTGACTTTGGACCAGCACCAAAACAAAGTCTGAGAAAAAGGAACTACTTCAAGTATAATCAAGCATGCTGTCACTCTGTGCAGAGCCTGCTGAGGTCATACATGGGTGAGATCTGTCTCAGAGTTTCTATCCCTCGTGTCTGTCCCTTCAGCTATGAGACAGTGACCTCCATCCTGCAGACGGCTGGATCCACTGCAGACCAACCATCTCTCCTTATAAGCAATGAAGATCCGCTGTGTTTACATGAAGAAGAGGAAAAGATGCCTTTTTCCTCTGAGCCAGACGATCCGCTGTCTTCAGTTGACATTTCCCCACCCACGGCCTTCTCTGACACGGGAGAGACAGAGACAATTAGCAAACAGACGGAATTATCTCAGAAACCAGAGTGTGTACAGTTGGGCGGTATAAGTCTGGTTGCAAGTCTGAGACAGGCAGCCTTTGAGCAGGAGGAAGAAAGGGAGAGAATGGAGAAAGAAAGGATTGAAAACATGAAGAGGGAGGAAGAAGAGAGGGCAAAGAGAGAAGCGGCAGAGAGGAAAGAGAAAGAGAGGGTGGAAAAGGAAAAAGAGGAGAGACAGAGGTTGGAAAATGAGAGAAAAGAGCTGCTGAGGATGGAGAGAGAGAGGATGGAGAAAGAAAAGGAGACAGAGAGAAGGATGCTGGAGAAAGAGAGAAAGGAGCTGCAGAGGAAGGAGAAAGAAAGGGTGGAGAGGGAAAATGAGGAGGAGAGAAAGCGGTTGGAAACAGAGAGAGAAGAGAACGAGAGGAAGAGGAGGAGGGAGGAGAAGGAAAGGGCAGAGAAAGAAAGGAAGCAGCAAATCAAGAGGAAAGAAAATGAGGAGAGGACCAGAGAAATTGAAAGGGAGGAGAAGAAAAAAGAGGAGGAGGACCTGGTGAGGCAAGGAAAAGAGGAGAGAAAAGGAGAGAAACAATTGAATCCAGAGGTAACTAATAAATCAGAAGCTTGGCCTCCTCTGAGGGAAGCAGAACTGGATGATATTGCAGATGATGAGAGGCTACAGGGTGATGAAGAGCAGTCTGATCCCAAACCAGTTAAAACAGAACACCCTAATGCAAAAAACAAAGTAGTTTCAGGCAAACCTGAGGACCCTCTAGTTGCTGATAAGAAAGCACTGAACGATACAGCTCTGAGATCAGTTAAAAAGGGCACATTTTTTAAATCTGGTGCCAGCCTGAACTCAGGTGCCATCCCAGTGTGGATGAGGGAGGAGGAGGATGAGGAGGTGGAGTATGAGCGAGGACATGAGGATCTCGGCTCCATCTGGCTGGCTGAGCTGTACATGGAGGGGGGGACAGGGTGAGTAAAAGGGGTGAGAGAGTTAAATAGCATCAGGGAGGTGAGTAACTGGGTGAAGAGTTGGTCTCATTAGGAAGGTCTGCTTGGTACCTTTTGGGGGTCAGAGGGCCGTGCTTGTGCATTTCTTGGTTATGCGTTTTCCAATAATCAAGGTTTTGACTCATATACCTGCAGGGTAGGTATGAATGTTAATGTACCCCACGCCACCACCACTTTTCATTTACTGAGGGTTTGCCTTTTGCCTGCAGGTATTTACTAATACAAAGTTGTGTGTTGGCATGTGAGTCATAGTTCTCCCCAAACAACATCATTACAGTTGTTTGTGAAGCAAACTGTAATTTCCTCTTTACACAGTGCGTTGCCACTTTGCCTCCAGCAGTAGTGACACGTGGCGCATGGAGGCAATCAGGGTACTTTCAAAAAGCTGTCCTTCAAATATATTGCGCCTTCTTCTTGGAGTCATAACTCAATCAAGTGTAAACACGCAGACACATGAAGTTTAGTTTTGTTTTGAGTTTCATCATGACCTATTCCCTCAGATGATGTCATTATCTCCATTGTTTATTGCAAATATAACCATTAACCTGCTTAGAAATCATAGGAAAGAGGACACCCGCTTAAAAAACTCTTTCTTGAGAATAATGTTTTCTGTTTGTTTGTATTTTTGGCTGTTGTCTTGGTAACTGATCTTACCTTAAATGTAGGGAATGTTGTGATCTCTCAAAAAGCTTTCAGCCAAAACTCACAGATTGTACCCAAAATGTCCTGGAAAATCCCTTCACTATTACACTTTTCTGTCTGTTGTTATTCCCATCCCATTCTTGTGAAGCATTATCTCTGGAATGCCTTGAGGGAATTCTTTTTAATTTTGCGAAAATATCCAGTTGAACTCAAGGATGAACTCTGATGTCTCTTTGACTTTACATTCGTTCCATTCTTGTTTATGGGATATCTCATTATTCAGGATCAGTGGACAACACCATTGTGCTATTTCCCACATTGATTGATATCAACTGCAACAAACCCCTAAATTAAAAGATTATGAACAGTTTTTTAAAGAACGATGATGAGCAGTTTATTAAGGGAATCTGTGTAGGAGAAACTTCACTTTTACCAATGACTCTATCCAGTGTCACTGTTGTAGTCATTTGTACTTTGAGAATTGTGTTTGAATGTTTCTGTCTGTTGAGTGGATGAACCCATTTGTATAGTCCTAGTTTAATATAGTCCAGTGGAGGCTTGAGCATCCGCTAAAATCAATGTTTCGCTGAGGAGAATTTACATATTTTTTAAATCTCTCTAGCATGTGTTTATTTTATTCTCACTAGCCAGACCTCTGTCCTGCTTGTGGAAGTCATGGGAAAGTCTTGTCCAAACAATGTGGATGTCGAGCCATCTGGCAGGCTTGAGAAGGCAGTGAGAATAGCCGAATTAGGATATAAGCGCTTGTAGAGAGTTTGTCCTTTGTCATTCTTTGACTATGAGTGCCTGATATTCTTGGAATGACATGATTGGAGTTCTGGCTGCATGAGATGAGTTGTGGTATGTTGCTGGAGGGGAATGGAGCATGATAAGAATATTGTAGTTGAGCTTGCCAGTTTTGTAAAAGAAAGTCGGCCTTTGGGTTCAGCGCTAAAATCTCCTTTTCTGTCTTCAGCCCTGGCCAACCATCATTCCCTGTCACCAAGGAGCCCTCCTCACTCCCTACCAGTGGACAAACGTTACACCAGGGCCCTGCTGCCAGTCGGCAAAATGTACCTGCTGAACTCTCTCTAAGCAATCTGCCAGACCGCCCTCCTCACAAACTACCATTAGGGTACACACAAGAGAAAATAATCAGTCAAACATCGATGGCCAAAATGTCTCCACAGTTTAGTGAAGGACAGAAACATCCAATTATTAGAGAGGATGTTGTCATACAAACTGGCCACAGCCTTGAGGCAGAAATTAATGAGGAAGGAGAACTTGATGAATCATCTGAGGTGCCTTGGCCCCTACCTTTGAGCACAAACACAGCCAGTGTACACTCAAATACCAAACAAACCGAGATTGATACGGACTTAGACATCACAAAGATAACCAGTGACACAAAAATGGCAGACACAGATTCACTCAAGAGCCATGAACTGAAGGAGGATAAAAATGAGAACTCTTCCAGATTTAACCCAAACACATCAAAGAGTGACAGTCACACACAGACACATGTCCCAGATCTCACCCATGTCAACAGAGACCAACAGCTCCAAGAGGAAGAGAGGCTGTTATTGGCAAAAATGAATCTAATGACAGGTGACACGTCACCTGACTGCAGCCATCGCAGAATGAAGCTCCTCATCCCTGACACCACAGGGCTTATCGATCACAACGAGAGCACGATAATTCCCTGCTTCGATACCTTGCAGGAAATATCACTAACTGAGGCAAATGAAACACTGGACAATGAGTCGGTTCAAAATGGAGAAGAAGAGGAGGATGTGTAAGTCAGCTTGGGCTGCCAACCTGTGCTGCTCTTTAAAATCACGTGCCACTGAATCCTTGTGTTTGTCATCTGCTGAGCTGTAGATTTAAGACACTCGACTTGAGCTTCAGTCAAATAATCAAGATTTGACTCTGAAGGGTTGCCATGACTTCAGACTTGTTTGTAAAAATTTAAATTGTGACCCCATAAAATCCCAAACAAATTCAGAATAAGATAGAAATAAGCAGACATCTAATAATCACAGTTTGAACATTTTATTGTAAGGTCAATGTATCCAACATAATTGGTGTCAATACAAGGCCAAGATGAGGCAGAATTTACAATAAGCACAAGACTGTTTTGAAATATATGCATCATCATACTAAGAAGCTAACTGACAATGCTAGCATATGCTGTTTAGGACATAATCCAAGTGCTGATGGGACTGATTTTAGTGTTGCAGGAAATTGGTCATTAATCAAAATATTGGCCAAATACAAATGTTTACATTTTAAATGACGCTTTTAATAACACAGAAACAAAAAAGATTGCTAATGGAAAAGTTAAGGGATCACCACAGTCAATATTTTAAATTCTCTTGGCCCTGGATTTTTTTTCCTGTAATTTCAGGTGGACTGTGATGGTTTACGGTTGCTTTTACAACAAGACAGGCCAACATCCTTAAAGCCATTTCATCACCTCATAGAATGTTTGAAATTTCACTTGTTTTGGCTCTCTTGATAAGACTCAAAACAGGACCGAGATATTCTTCTAAGGTGGTTACAAATTTACCAACAGCATAGACCTGAGTTGCTACATCCATCCACGCTATATGTTTTATGTGAAACATCAAGTCAGTGTTGCTTTCTGCTGTGTCGGCAAGCTTGCATGTCCCTTGCTCGCATCTGCAAATCACTGGCTTTGTTGATGCCATGCTGTATGCACAAAAGTATTGTTCTTAACTAAACCTGTTGTGTTTTGCTGCTAATCAACAAGTTGTATTTGTCCTGTCTCCACTCAGGTTGAAATGCCAGCCAGCTGACCCATCTATAGGGATAAAAGCATCATCTCAACTTGAAGACATGAAGGCATCTCGACTTCCTACGTTACAAGAAGAAGAAACATCTGAACCGGTTCCAATGGTCAGAGAGGAGGCCAATAGAAAGGAGGATGTAGCTGATGTAAATTAACACAATCACAATGTGTTCATACTCTGTGGAATGTCTTTTTTAATCACAGAAACAAAAATCTAAGCTTAACTCCTTTCTGGCAGGGCCTGGTGAACTCCAGCCAGTCGCTGCTCCACTGGTGTCAGAACATCACTAATGGTTACCAGGGGGTAAAGGTCACAAACTTCAGCACGTCCTGGAGAAATGGACTAGCTTTCTGTGCCATCCTGCATCATTTCCATCCAGATAAAATGTAAGCTGAAAATCCTATTTGTATTTTTTTAGCCAGTTTTTCTGTCTTGTTATATGCATTAACACATTTGCTGCTGCTTGAGAATATCACAATTTTGCTTGAAACAAACTGACTTCCCAGAAGCCCTTTAGGCAACATCTTCTGTTATGGTTGTTAATTTTATCTACTTGGTTACTAGAGTCTTTTTTAGATGATCGTTTCAATATGTTTATTAGGGGTGAAAAAATCAGCGATTTCCCTCATTTCTGGCTATAATGGCTATTTTATAATGAACTGATTCATCAGCAAACTAATAAACACTAAAAATTATCATTTCAAATCTACACTTATTTCTATATCACATACGTCATTTCTTTTTTTCATATTAGAGATTTTGACCATTTGGTCTCTCATGACATCAAGCTCAACAACAAAAAGGTAAGGACCAAGCAAAAGCTTATTCCCCCCATATTCAGCTTGTATATACTGTATGTATGTATGAGTCATCAGAAGTGTTTATATTTTATTAAAAGCTAACAGTTTTATGATATAAATGCTGAAAAACAATCATTTCTATTTGGAAGATCTAATTTATTATTCTGTAGAGGGAGGCTGAGAACAACAAAGATGTTTACCAGGAATGTTTGTTTACTTTAACCAACCATTTATGTATTCATAGTAATAGCTCTGTGCTTTAAACAAAGACATTTATATTTTACATTCTAGCTTGATTCTGATCTATGTGTTGCCCAATGTCACTTTAAAGTAGTCTAACTTACCAACAGGGCTTTTCTATGCTGATGATATCTTTCTCTACTTAAAATGTCAGGCGTTCGATGGTTTCGAGGCCCTGGGTATCTCTCGTCTGTTAGAGCCGTCGGACATGGTTCTTCTGTCAGTCCCTGACAGGCTCATTGTCATGACCTACCTCAGCCAGATCCGCTCACACTTTACCAACCAGGAGCTGAGTGTGCTGCAGATAGAGCACAACAGCAGCCAGTCTAGCTATGGCCTCGCTCTCTCTGGTCCTGGTCCTACTACAGTGGACGCGGCTGCTTTCTGCATGTCCAGGCTGAACGAAGGACTCAGTCTAGAGGAGGGAGGAAGCAGCACTCTGGTCGTCCCTCCACCAAGGACCAAACGACTGGGTAAAGGTATCATTACAAAAATAAAGACAAATATCATCACAAATAATACAATGTTGTAAGGTACAGTATGCTCTTCTGGTGCTTAAGAATTCTATGTGTAGTCGGACACAAATGTATCCTACTAGACATTGGTTTAAAAATTTGTTGAAATTAGTTAAGGCCATCCAGGATTTTGTGAGATCAGAGTTACCTTTAAACTTTGACCAGGTCTTCATTCAGTCAAAATTTATACCAGTTTTGAGGAAATTCCTTCAAGCTTTTCCTGAAATATAGCATTCTTGAAAATAGGACAGAAGGACAGATGGACACAATGCCTTTTAGCCTCAGCTGTCGCTGGTGCTGAGTGGGAACATTTCTGTGTCTCCAGGGAACTTAGGAATGTGAAGTCGGACAGTTTAAGCTTAGGAGACAGAAGACAACAGAAATCATTAAATCAAGTTTAGAGCACCCCAATTAAGATTCTAGCTGTTTTTTAAGGTTCCCAAAGATGCCAATGCCATGTTGAATGTCTTTGTGAATGTTGTGAAATAATAAACATCTAAAGTTTATCATTTAATGGACTGGTGCAGCCATGGATGTATTTTTCTTGGTTCAAAGCTTGGGAAAAACATTTTTTGTTAATCACCTTCTTAGTTATTGATCAATCCTTTATGAACATGTCATGCCAAGTTCTTTTCATTTTTTTCTAACATGACAGATTCTGTCTGTTCAGTTTAAATGTGTTAACATTTGTGGGCTTGTTTGGTGAGCTATTTGCTTGATCATTGCTTGAAAATAAACATGTCCAAGGAAAGTATGTGGCATGATGAGCTTTAAGAGGTTTAAAACACAAAGTTCTTACTGTTTCATCTTTTTCAGCGGATGAGTCGATAACCCCAGTCCCTCCACCGAGGTCGATTAACAAAGCTGTTAAATTTGACCTTGCTCAGGTATCAGCCTTTGCTTTGACAGACTTTAATAACGTTATATCACCTTTTGACAGTTATCTTTATGTGTTATTTGTAGTTAATGTATTGAAACCTTTCATGTCTCTCTTGTCCAGGATGAAGACACAATGACACACTCTTCAACAGATATCACCAACAAAACAGGTGGTTGTCTGAAGCCATTGCCTTTAAAGACGATACTCAAGATTTCAAATACTGATATACATTCCCATTCCTGTTCTTGTCTGTTTTCCCTCTTCATTCACACTTTGGTCTGTGTGTGTGCAGAGTTGCAGGGTGCAGCGAACACACGGCCTTCCAAACAAGAGGAACCGATGGTCAGTTTCATGTCCCTCACTTTTCTGTTTTGCATTTCTTTTCTCAATCTTTGGTCTGACCATCTGATCAAATCAAATAAACATATTTAAAAGTTTTGGATTGCTGCAAGGATTGAATCATATTTTTGATAAACTTGTTCAAGTCATGATGATTAATTCAACCCAGATTCCTAACCTCACTGCTTTCACAGCTTGTATTTCCATCCTTTTAGCCACACTCTAACCTTTGACCTTCTGGTTCCACTTGTCGTGTGTGTGTGTGTGTGTGTGTGTGTGTGTGTGTGTGTGTGTGTGTGTGTGTGTGTGTGTGTGTGTGTGTGTGTGTGTGTGTGTGTGTGTGTGAAATTGGGCTTGTGGTCAGTGTCTGCAGGACACCAGTCAATATGTGCTGAGTGAGCTGGCAGCTTTAGAGACAGAGCAGAAGCACATTGACAGCAGAGCCGCTGTGGTGGAGAGACGACTGCGAAGCCTCATGGAAACAGGTGAGTCACATGCCAAAATAGATATGAATCATAAAGAAGGGATGAGAGCTGAATGCAGAGAAATGTAAATTGAAATGTTTTTATTGCCTCAGTAGTTTTAAAAAAGTCAGGTTTAAATTACTGCACAAGTCCAGAATCTTAAATCCCTTTCATCCTCCTCCCTGACCTGAAGTAGATGAATTCCAATGGAAGAACGACCAAGTTTAGATATGTCCTCTGTTGCCTACAATTATAGTTTGCATTATTTTTGCTTTGAGTCTTTGTTATAATTCACAGAAACAGCTCGACTTGCAGGTCAACCATAAGCTCACCGTTATATTTCATTTTCTGCTTGTCACCTTTCAACCTGCAAATTACGTTTCACAACTTTTTAGGAACCCATAATTAAATTGAATGATTCCCAGGTGTCTTAGATGTTAACTAAGAATTCCAACACCCCTAGCGTCCCCTTGTGTTTTGGACACTTGACATTTACCTAGCAGTGCTCGTTTCCTCTATTTCTACAGGTAGTGACCGTGATGAAGAGGAGCGATTGATCCAGGAGTGGTTCACTCTGGTGAACAAGAAGAACGCTCTGATTCGCAGACAGGACAACCTGGAACTACTGTAAGACCTCTAGCACAAACTGGTTACACATGTAAGATTGCATACCGTGTAATGAACATGAATTACTCACTATTGCTACAGGCAGGAGGAGCAGGATCTGGAGAGGAGATTTGAGCTTCTGAACAGAGAGCTTCGGGTCATGATGGAGATAGAAGGTTGGTAACAAACAGTGATGGACAAATTATTCAGACCAATTCATTTAGTATCTAATTATTTCACTAACTATGATGCATTTTCTTCAGATTTAACTACCCAACACAATGGAAAGTTTACTTGAAATGATTCTCACCTTAACCAGCTACAACATTAGAATCACATGTCATAGAGTGTTGTACACTGTGACGTTGCTGAATAAGAAAGGATTGTCTGAAAGCTGCAACTAACTACAGTTATCAGATAAATTCAATTTTAGCAGAATTTAATCCATTTTTGTTTCTGCCTTTCTTTGCATTGAAAGTAATTGATTAAATTGTAATGAGACAGTATATATGTAGACAGTAAAATGATTGAGGACTTTTGATTAAAAAATAAACATTAAATGCAGATAGAATTTTTATCAATTGTCCTTCTCTGACTGTAAATGGTTTCATGAGCTGTTTCTTAAATGACTCTTCTTTGTCATGTAGACTGGCAGAAGTCGTCCACTCAGCAGCAGAGGGAGCAGCTGCTCCTCCAGGAGCTCGTGTCTCTGGTCAACCAACGAGACGAGATCATCAGAGACATCGATGCCAAGGAGAGAGGGTGAGTGTGTGTGTGTGTGTGTGTGTGTGTGTGTGTTTATTTATGTATGTTTGTGTGTTAGATAGAACAAGTAACATGGAGATAGCAAATCACTCCAAAAATAACACTTTCATTTATCTTGTATGTCTCTTCTTACAAATGTATACTTCAAATGAATATTTTGGCTCATGCTTGTAATTTTAACTTCCAAAATCATAAAATATGTCAAATGTTTTTTTGCAGGGCTTTGGAGGAGGATGAGCGTCTGGAACGAGGTCTAGAGATGAGGAGGAGAAAATACAACAACAAAGAAAAGTGTGTCCTACAGTGAGAAAAGAGACACAAACAGCTTTCTCACAGAGTGTCTGAAGCTCCACAAAAAAAAAACATGTTTGTTTTATCTCCTTCAACTTTTGCACATATTATTAAAACAGGAATTCAGTTTTCCTCAATTCCTTCTGCCTTTACCTTCATGGAGAACTGTTAAAACCTATCACGAGGAAACCAGGTGACAAGATGAGGGCTGCAAAATGCATCCTTTTTGAAAGTGTTTTTATTGTTTCAGTCTGTCTTAATGTTAAAGTATTATTTTGGTTCTTTTCACATGTTTTTATTTATTGGAATGATGTGTCAGATAGTTTTATTGCACAAGTTGGTATATGTGTTCGTGTGTCTATTCCGCTTTGAGTTTGCTTTAGAGTAGAATCACTGGCTTTTTCTCTTCTCTTTTATATATTTAGGGTTTCCCGGGTCATGACAAGATAAAATATGGCAACAACAAAAAAGTGTGCAGTGTAGAACACTTCAATCCTAATTGTAAGAAGTTTGTTTCATTTGGTTTTGTTGATATTTCTCTACATTTCTGTTTCAGATATTCCAGCCCAAAATGTCAAATGTTTAAGTTGAACACGCTGAGAACTATAAGTTAAAATATATATATATATATTTTTTTTTTTTTGGGGGGGGGGGGGTTTGCCTTCATTGGAGAGACAGGACAGTGCACAGATTTGGAAATCAGGGAGAGAGAGTGGGGAACGAAATGCACGAAATTAGCCACAGGTGGGATTCGTACCTGGGCCGCCGCTTGGAGGACTAAAGCCTCCGTACATGTGGTGCGCGCACCAGCCACCCACTGCACTACCAGCACCGTCCAGAGATCTATAAGTTATAGATAACTTTCAAAAAGTCATGAGCTGGACTCGACCCCCCGATGCAGGTTCATGTTTTCAACATTTTTAGAAATCCTGAAAGCATATCCTCTTATTGCAATAATGTACCTAGTTGTTTTATCTTTTTTTAAATATTAGATGGAGACAGTTTTCTTCATATTAAGAAGTTTTTAAGTCTTCTTTGAGCAAAGAAGATGCTCAAGGTGATCTCCAGCTTGTAGCATTTACAGTGCCTTGAACCAGCCATCATGTAAATGGCTGTGTTGTTCTAGTCTGCTCAGAAATATTCCCATTTCTGCGTCCTTTGACTTCTGTATGCATGGTTTTTGAGGTGCGCTGTTAAAGTGGTACTCTGCCTCATGTCACTACTGTAAACTCATCACACACTGTATGCCTGAAGCTGTCTTTATTTATGATACAATGACTGACGAAGAAATGTATTGATAAATATGTTAAAAAAATAAATATTTGGTTGGTTGCTTACAGCTTTGGACTTGTATATTTTAAGCTTCGGGCACGACATGAACAGTTTTCCTTTTTTTGTATGCGACTGTATCAAGACAAACCTGAATAGGCACAACTTATACATTTTGTATTTTTGCTTTAGAAAATGTGTGTGTGTGTGTTGTGTGTGTGTGTGTGTGTGTGTGTGTGTGTGTGTGTGTGTGTGTGTGTGTGTGTGTGTGTGTACTCCCAATAGAGTATTAGTGCTAATCAGCTTGGCTCGCTCCTCTAATCTGACATGACAGACAGAACGTAACCAGTCCAGAGCATGATAAGCCTGAGTTACCTTTAGCTCAATGAGGAATCTCTTTCAGCTCTTAAAACACCTATGGTTCTGTCATGCTAAAACCAGAACAGGACTTAGTAATAATGGAGGAGGAGAACACCTATACAAGATGTTGGGTGTGTGTGCTGAGCTGCCTTCTGCTCGCGTGTGTGTACGTTGGCAGCCTGTACGTCTGGAGAAGCAGCTTACCCAGGTACACAACCTACAGCAGATCTGAGACACTGCTGTTAGACTGGAATTGTAAATTTGGTGTGTGTGTGTGTGTGTGTGTGTGTGTGTGTGTGTGTGTGTGTGTGTGTGTGTGTGTGTGTGCAGGGACCATCCTAGTGTGATAAAGCGTCGCTGTGCCAGTGTGCTGCTGGTCTCTGCGCTGTCACCAGCAGTGGTGAAGGTATGGATACACTGGGCCGATGTCAAAGTGAGTACTAAACAAGAAAACATGCAATGATCTGCCGCTGACTTTGAGCTCTACACTTTCCAACATGGCCATAATTCAAGAAATAAACAAAACGGTTTACCACTCTTTGCAAGTGTCACAATCTCACTTGAAACACTCAAAGTTAATTTGTGTTTCTGCTCACTAAAATATTTTATTAGTCAGGTAATAGCAGTTGTAACACATAAACTTGCAACTGAACACACATACACTCCCAAAGAATAAATCTGTAGCCGTATATTTGGGAAGTAGAGTTGGAGACATTAAATTCAGCTCAGCAAGGCTCAGATAGTCGACAGCTGTAGCTCAGAGGTAGAGCGGGTTGACTTGTAAAGGTCGGCGGTTCAATCCCAGGCTCCTGCAGTCCACATTTCAAAGTGTCATAGGGCATAGACCACAAATTGTAGTTGTTAGAACGTTACGGCGGGTAGAAGTTTTTGCCATTAGTGCATGAATGTGTATGTGAATGGTTGGAACAAGTATACATAGAAGTCCCTTTCACATTGCCAGCTCAAGGTGGGGTATTTATCCTCCTTGCCTGTAATGTAGAGGCATAATGGTGGGGGCAAAGTCATACCACCACTGGGCCGATATATAGCCTGACAGAGACGTAACATGGGCAAGAAGGTGATGGTGTGTAGATTCCATCTTTGATTACAACTCATGCCTCGCATTCCTTTGCAACACCAAAACGGCCTGTAAAATCACAGGGATACTAACACTACGCTGCTGAGAATGCAGTGTCTAAGCACAAAGGCGTGGTGACTGTGAAGTTTTGTTACGGGGCTGTTGTGGAATAGAAATGTGTAAAGGGCTTCATTGAATTGGCAGTTTGAGTGGTCGTGCGATTATAATGCATAACAGAAGTATATTTAGTATACAGGATACACATGCTCACACTATGCACACTCACACTGCATTGTACTCAAAAGGTCAGTGTCAGTAAATCGGAATGAGGCTGTTTTTCAAGGACAACTCACAAGAGGGACTGACCCCTGCCCACCCAGTGCAGCTGACCTGCATATAAGTCATACATAAGGTGTTTTGTACGGTTAAGCCTGGGGTCTCATTAGCTTCACTTTTTAATCATTTTAAGGCGAAAATGATGTTTACAAAGTCACAATTTGCTGTTTCAGGTGGACGTGTCTGTTTGGGAGCTGATGGGGGTTCGTTTGGAAGGTCTGGTTCCTGCAGCTTTATTGCCTTTACTACTCACCATGGTACGTCAGGGGGTCTCCTCCAGAGAAAACATAGAAAAAGAAGGCATTTCTTGCCTACAACAAAAAAAAAATACAGTACTTATTTGCTAAAATAACAAGAACAAGAGTTTATTCAACATGAGCAACTCCTTTTACTGCTGGTTTAATAAAAGGGGTTCATGGGGTTTGGCTAGAAGCACAGATTGCATTGAGAAGTAAATTCTTGAAAAAAAATAATGGTTGAATATTCAGTGTTACCGTTCGATGATTTGCTTTTATAAACAACTGAAAAGTGTACGAATGTAAAGCCCACCTAAAACTTAGAGGGATGATTCAACGAGGCGTGAAATGGACAGGAAGAAAAGATACCTCTGCCGAGTAGTTTATTTCTTTCTTGAAAATCTAGTCTGAGATCCTATTTCCTTTTATTTATGGGTCGGTTTTTACATATCAATGATTCAACTTACATACTATGATGCATTGTTTTTACAGCCTCCATTAAATCTCTTTAGTTTGTAGACATATCCAATGAGCACACAAAAACCACACGCTAAAAAATGTTCCCTATAATAATGTTTACATCCTCCTCTGTATTTTTACTTAACATACTTGCACTGGATGAAATATTTTTATATTCTTAACACCAGGTGTTTTATCTTGGTCCTCTGGTTCACTCTGCCTTTGACAACCCCCAGCAGCTTCACTGGGGAACTGCAGTCTGCACTTGGTGAGTTAAACTTTAAAATAAATCTTCTAAGCATTTGATGATGTATATGTCATCGTAAAGTCTTGACTTTTATTTGTCCAGATGTTCAGTCATGGAGGCAGTGTGTGAGAGATGCAGTGTGGCTCAGGAACCAGGTGGTGGCACCAGTGACAGAGGAGCTTGTGTTCAGAGGAGCGATGCTGCCCATGCTGGTGCCGTGCACAGGACCCACAGCTGCCATCTTTACTGCTCCTCTCTTTTTTGGTGTGGGTATGTCATCCAGACTTACAGAGGATAATCAAACACAAAGTGAATGCAGACATTAAACTTAGACTAAAGTGACATTATCGCATTAGATTCATGAATGATTGAGTACATAAGTTTACTTCCTGCATTGTTACCCTTGATTTCCATTGTAGTTTTCGTCGTTATGGTTGTCTCCATAACTCATAGCCACTTTATTGTGTCATCATAGCTCATTTACACCACATCATAGAACAACGGCGGCTTCACAAGGACAGCATGAGAGTCATCCTCTTGATTTCAGGTGAGCCAACTAAGAAAACTTTCCTCAACTTATTACTGTAGTATAAAAGAAAATGTATTGAATGTGAAATTATACAATTTGTAAAGACACAACATGTGGAAAGTCTATGACAATGAATACAACTATGCAGGTCCCTTTGGTCAATTGTACATGGTTTCATGATAACTTTATAATGGAATATAAATTATGAGTTGATGAAAACCTTGGAATTCATGATACTGTCTTGGGATTTCTTCAGTATGAGTTTTTGTAGTCATTTTTTTTGTTCAAAAAGTCATCAATATCCAAAACCGTGTTTGTAAACTTCATCAATTTGGCAATATTATATGGACAGGTGAGATATAAAGATATATTTAATAAACTTATTTCATATAGAAAAGCCATACATTTTCTTTGTTTTATTCTGTTCCAGGGATGCAGTTCTTATACACAACTGTGTTTGGTGCCTTTACCGCCTTCATTTTCATGAGAACTGGTGAGAGATGAGTTTAACAGCACATTGACTTCTTACGTCGACGTTTCACATCTCTGAAACTTTTCACTTCTCTCTACAGGCCATGTGGTGGGTCCAGTTTTGTGCCATTCGTTTTGTAACAGTCGGGGCCTTCCAGACATCATTGCAGCACTTCAACACCCTCAAAAGTCACCTCTTCTCCTCTCATATGTTATGGGTTTGCTGCTGTTTCTGGTGCTCCTATTCCCGTTGACAGACCCCTTCTTCTATGGTGTCACTCCTGTCTGCAGCCTGGCTCCCCCCTCCAGCCTCTGTCTGCCAGATCCAGTGAAATGAAATATACACCCACTCTTGAAACATTTTGTTTCTCCAATGGAGTTCATTTTGTGTTGGGTTTTTCAAATAAAAACCTTTTATAAAGAAAAGAGAGAGTGCATTTTTAGCTTTTTATTTTAGCTGTTCTAGCACTGCAGACATTTCCTGCTTGGTTGGAAATATTCCCTACTGTATTGAAACAGAACACTGGGACAATTTTCCCTGGCTGAGAAAAAAGTCTGTGTGTGTGTGTGTGTGTGTGTGTGCGTGTGTGTGTGTGTGTGTGTGTGTGTGTGTGTGTGTGTGTGTGTGTGTGTGTGTGTGTGTGTGTGTGCGTTTATGTGTGTGTGTTATCGAAAAACAGATGAACTGTGAGAGCAAACGGCTGAAAAAGGATGGAGGGTGGAAAAGACAGACAGAGACAGAGGGCCAACAAACACAAAAGGAACCAATGTGGAGAGCGACAACTATTAACTGACATTATTCGGAAAAAATAAGGCAATTAAAGCCAGACTTGTGTAAAAAAAGAAAAATCAGCGACAGCCAGAAGTAACAACAATGCCAACAGAGAGAAAGAGAAGAAGAGAGAAGAAAAAGTAAAGGAGAAGAGAAAAGTGAAGCTAGAAGTGGAGGATGGGAGCAAACATAAGTGTGTCCCTGAGGAAATTCAGAATGTGGAGTCGCAGAGTGGGGGAACTCGAGGGGACTCAGGGTCAGTGGAAACAGTGAGGGTTTAGTACTGAGAGGTGAAAGGTTGTGACAGACAAGTAAGATTAATGAGACAGACTGATGAGCCAATTGCAAAAGAAAAACCAACAACCTAAACCAGAGAAGGCAGATCATTTACATCTACATTTGTACATTTACACACCTCATCAGGAAAGTCATGCACAATGTATTCCCTTCAGTTCTCTGCACCTACTTAATATTGCTTTGTTGTCTGGTTGCGACATAAAAAAATTATTTAATTCCAGCTTTATTTGGTTATGAAACAGAACTAGCAAGGCTTAGATTTGAACCCTAGACCTTTAAATGCCCGTTCTTAAACTTAAAGAGGAGACTCCGTTTTATTTATTTTTCAGCTTAATGGATTTTTTTTTTTGTTGTTGTCATTTTGGGAAACATGATGATTTGCTTTCTTTATTCCAAGTCTTAAATGAGAAGATGGATACAAGTGTGAAGTTTGCTCCGTATATAGCTGATTTGTTTTGTGTGTAGCCGAGCTTGGCTAAGCATTTCATGTATCTTAGTTTAACTTAGCTTAGCTTAGTTATGCTAATCATAAAACGCTAAAACAGAGTAACTATTCAAACCACAACAGGATGATTTCTTCAATCTCATCAAGTAGTAACCTTTCACAGCTTTAACCACGTGTTGAAGAGGAAGAAAGGATATCCTAAAACAGAAGCTAATGATTGCCATGAAACAGACAATTATGTTTGCCTTGTGCATATGACAAAGCATTTGTATTTAATAACTTGCTGCTAGCATCCCTCTGCCCTTAATAAAAACAATCAACTCAATTAAGCTAATGATCTCTCTTATTTACTTAAACACGACAGAGTGAAAATGTTCGGTGATTTAATGCTGAACTAATAAGTTGGCTGGGACCAGTAAACATGTAATAGTGAGCTTTGGAGTTGCTATGTGTTTTGCTGCTCTTGGACATGCTAGTCGTCTACAGTCTTCATAAACTAAGCTAGCCAGCATCCGTCTCTGGTTTCACCTTTACTGTGCAGGCATGTCAGCAGTAGCTACATATCTTGTTGTTAAAAACTGGGGTTTAACTTCTTATCCTTAAATAGATGAACGAAGGTGTAGCGACTGCTGATTTGTCATCATTATCCCCCTCTGCTACACTTTCACTTTCCTTGTCATTTTTGGGATCTTTCCAGTTCAACAAAGCTGCTGCTGAGAGTTTGGGGATTTAGGGGGACTGTCATGGATCAACTTGACAGCTGTTTCCAACAAGCAACTGTACCTATTTTCCTCAGAGTGTTTTTGCCAGAGATGTACTGAGTCTGAAATTAAATGTAAACGGCCTCAAGTTCTGCAGACGCCAACGGAGACTTCCAGGTGACCACTGTGTCACAGTCGGGAATGTGAAACAAAGGCAGCAGAGTAACTGAGAGCTAAAATATGTAGACTGTTATTCCCATACCTTGCACATAAATGGCCTGCATGTGGACTGAGGGAATGATTAGCCTAAACGTCCTGTGCTGATGCTGAGTCAGGCCGTTCAGTCTTCCTCTGCAATTTGTTTTTTGTTTTGAAGAGGCGCACATTAAAATTAAATTGAGGTAAGGTCATGTAAAGGATGTGGGTAGCAAAATACTTTTTTTTATAAGGCAAAAGACCTGAGACAATAAGAAGAAGCAGTGCAGATAGAAGTCAGACATGTGGTGAGTTATCTCAAAAGTCCTCTCTAGCATTCTGTTGAGCATATGTCCTCATCCCTTTTCTTTGTGAAGTCATCATCTTTTCTCTCCATAATTTATGCATTTACCATTAATGCTTCATCTCAGGAGAACTATGGCTTACATGAAAGACATAACAAAGAAGTGTTAGATGTCTGCGTGTTTATGTGTGTGGCTGTGTCTATGGAAAAGCTGAGCGTATCATCTGGTAAAGGAATAATCTGTCAGGAATTAGCCTCTCGGAGCACTCGCTCTCCATCTCTCTTTCTGCCTCTCCAAGCACTTCTTTAAAATGCAACAGTTCTCTCAAGATTTTATTGCAGAGTTTTAGTTTGTCGGTGGTTTGTTTGTGCATGTGTGAGTTCAATTGCAGTCCAGACGAGTGTGCATTTGTGTGACTGGAGCCTTTGTTAGTCATGTTCCTATTTTTATTTTTTTTAAATCTTTCTCCAAAGTGAGGAAATGTTTGGCATAAAAGGGCTGGCCACTGAAATTTCCATTTGAAACAGATTTTTCTACACCAGACTTTTCAACCAGAAATTAAAAAAACTGAATTCAGGCAAGTTCATTTTGATCTTTTTTCCTCTTGGTTTTATCAGTTTAAAGAATGCAATGCAAGAAAAAAGAATGACCTACATCAAAATGTCAGGTAAATAAATGGATGAACCTACCATGTAGTTTTTCCAGCTCCACTTTTGGATTTTGATGCAAACCCACAATCTGAAAATCCTCGGTGGATTACAGTGGTTGTTGGTACTTGTACTGGACAGCTCCCAGGTGTGAACATGAGGGAAATTAAGCATGAAGAAACACAGACATGGCTGAGAAACAAGCTCAATAACTATTCCAAGGTTCAATAAAAGTCCATAAAGGTCAACTGGCATATAGACACAATTTAGACAGCTGCAAACCAACTAGCTAACAGCTCCCAATCTAAAAATGCTTTTAGTTGATTACTCAAGTAACTGCAGACTTCAGCTGGCACGATGATTATTCCTTCTGGATTAAACATTTCAACAGCAACCCCGGCCTGCTCAGATATTTGAGGTGAATATTTGTTGATGGTTTGGGTGTGGAAGGAGGCGATCATGTCTGCTATGAAAGATGAAACATATGGACCTTGTAGAAAAAGGGGATAAAAAGAATCGTCTTTTTCCTGCACTTCTCCAAAATCACCAGGAATGCCTACACTCCATTATTTAACCACAAGGCCACAGCTAATTGCTTCAGTGTGTGTCTATGTGTGTGTGTGTATGCACTCGTGTGTGTGTGTGTCATAGGACACCAGCGGTTGGGAAAAATGAACAACTGACGTGTCCTGCTGTATTTGATATTGCAGAAAAGCTTCAATAAAAAGCCCAAAAGCTGCAAGTTTATGCTCAAAACAACAAGGACAGAATAACTGAAGCTTCCTAGAATTCAGTTTGAAGGCTTCTTCAGCAGTGGCACTCCTTTTTTCCCCCTTTCAGAAGTCAAGTAAAAAAGAGAGGAGCATTTAAACTGTCAAAGCAGAAGCGGAAATAAGTATGAAACTTGTAAAGTGTATTACTGTCCAGACTTCTTTATAAAACTGTACTTGTAAAAAAGTGCTACAATGATGTAAAATTACTTTTTATTATGATGGAACATACTGACTGTCGATGACCTGACTTTTTAGTGAACTGTTTACTGTATAAATTGATCACAAGCTATAATTATTTGGTTTTCTCAAGATAAAAGCTTTTGATCTTCAGGGCAACTAATCCATGATTTCTGACATTATGCACAGTGTCATGACTTGATTGTATTATGATCTGGTGCGTTTTTCAACAACATTTTTCGATCTAACATATTCAGCTTGAATCAGTTTCCACGGTTCTCAAGATGCTATCTATGCATGCTGCACTCCTGATCACTGATGCGTCTTATTAGTTAAAGAAAATATATATTTTTTATAACATTTTGTCTTTTGCCTTTGACAGATTGGATAGCAGAAGATAGCTGGAAATGTCGGGAAGAGAGTGTGGGGGTTGACATGCACCAAATGGTTGCTGTCTGCTCCTAAGCTTAGCCAGAGCCCCAAGAACTTTTGTCTTAACAGTGAAATAGCTCAGCTAAGACTAATGTTGGTTTAACTGCCATGAAATCTGGTAAAGATGTCCATGTCTGCCCTTGAAAAAGCAAGAAAGAAGGCCTTCTGTTTTACTACTCTCTATTCCCCAGTATTCTTCTTTATACAACAATTTCAGTCACTTTCTGTGTATAAGTAAGTGTAACACTGAGCACCTGCAGGAGAAACTGTCTGATAATGTGAAATATGTAATACAAGCCCTGTGTTATTTGAGAGAATGAAAGTACTCTTTGTGTTTTATCAATCCAGATTCCAGAGGTTTAGGACCTCCACAGAAAATCAAATCAGGAGCAGCTTTTCAGCTGCTTAAAAACAGAGCTAGTGGTTGAAGTGAAATGGAGAGGATTTGGAGCTGGAAGAATCAGTTCAGCTGCTTGGAAGCTAAAATGTTGAGAAAGTATCAGAGCCAGTTAGGATATTAGGCAAGTTGCTAGGAGTCAAGGAGATACAGAGAAGGCTGTGACCTCTGAGACAGGGAGTATAAAATCAAGAGATCTGCATGTTCCATTAGAGGTCTTTGGGTTGGAAGATATAGCTGCTTTCAGGTACTGTACGTACATTAATGTGAAAAAGGGGAATTGGA